CCACTCAAAGCGCTTTTACACAACATGCCACATTCACCCTTTCACACACATTCACTCAGTGAAGGCAAAGTCCATTGAACAGAAACTAACACATTCATACACATTCACACACAGCAATTCGGGGTTCAGTGTCTTACTCAAGGAAACTTCGACATGTGGCGGGAGGAGCTGGGGATCAAACCAACAACGTTCCGATTAGTAGACAACTAAAAATACGTTAAAATTTGTAAAGAAAATATGTAGTTTAACAAACTGCATCATATTCATCACATTGGACGGTAGATGCCATTGACTGGGTAACATCCAGCATTAAATTAAAAGCCAATATCTGACTTACTATGTTGTTAAAGCAGTATACTGTAGTGTAATCCTTCTTTTAATAGTAGAGGAGAAACACAGTGCCTCTCATTTTTTGTTGTTTTATTATTATCTAGTTATCTGATATTATGTTGTTCCCCTTTTATATCCTTCATCCTGTGTGGCCTTATTTCCTTCTCAGCAACTTTCCCCTCTCCCTCCCTTTTTAACCGTGAATGTCCATGAGGATTCTTCCTTTTTGTCTCCCAGGCTTTTTCTCGTATACCTTAACAGATTCCCTCTGGAGTTCAAGTGGAAGAGTTGCTCATTACCAACATCCACTACATTGCAGTGCATACAATATACTGAACTCAAAATTATGGAGCGGAACTTCATTTTCAGACCACCTTGATTGATTTTAGAATGTTTAGAAAATACATGCTCACCATTATTATGAATTGGAGTGTCACAATTATTATTACTTATATGATCACAATGCTCTTTATCTGTATCCTATTTCTAACAGTGCCATTGTCTTTTCCTTTGGGCCTTTGTTTTTCTCTTCCCCTTGCCTTTTTTCCCTAATTTGAGGAAAATTGGAATTAGAGGAATTTGGATAAGCAGCAGACAGCTTAAAGTACTAGCACAATACTTGTCCTAACCCTGATCCTGGGGTTTCCTGTATTATAACTAATGTTGTGTATGGTTTATGGTGAAGTATGTTTTTTGTTGGCCACACATTCAGTCAAAAACAAGCACTGTGACAGTGTGCCTAAGATGTTTACCACTAGGTCAGTGGTCATTTTGTTTCTAGTCATTCCTGTTATCTGTAATAGACCTTTAATTAAGAATGGATGCTGAAATTCTTTCTAAAGTGGCATATAGATAGCCCTGGGGACTGAAAACAGACAAAATATAGAAAATGTTGCTGGTCCATAGGGTTGCTGTGATAAACCCTCAAAATCTAAAGCTCAACCACTGCTCATAACTCGTCAAAGAGATGTTAAACTTGCGTAAAACATTTCTGGACATACTGAAAATGAAAGCCTAGACATCTTATAATGTCCATTTTACATTTTACTGCCATTTCATAGAATGCTGCATCTTAATTTGGATTGGAACTATCATAAAATGTAATTTCTTTCAATTTAAAAAAATAAATATATTAGACACGTTGCTAAGTTGGGATTTAATGGAAATATTACCATTTGTTCTTTTATTTTGTGGTAATAATGACTCCACTACCCACCACGCCATGTGGGGCCGTCAGGGAGCTGGTGCATTTTTGTCACGCTGTTGTAATGTGCTCTTTGCTACTTGCATCTATTTTGTTGTTATAGCTGTTGTTATATTTTTTCATGGAGGCCAACGTGCCTTTACTTTTGCCTAATGTTGATGCTTTATATAATATCTGTGTAACAGTGTAAAATAGTTATAAGCACTACTTATCAGACCAGCCCAAAGCTGGAGTTGATAGATCTCTGTAGTGCTCCATGCTAACTTTAAGCATTCACAGCGTGGACTGACAGTAATCCATTAGCATTATCCACACAAAGAGTTCTGTAAATGTTGATGATTCTTTTTAAAACAACATACTCTTGACACACCGTCACCGCTGCTGGTGCAAATGAAATGTTACTGTCTGAATTTTATCACTGCTTTTATCAATATTGTCAGACCCATTTGAAGATTGTTTAGAAAGAAAAGGCCCAGAGACATGTTTTATTGCCATGCACAAGATGCTGTATTGCCATTTAGTATTAAAAAAACATTTTATTCCTTTCTTTCTTTGATTGAACTGTGACTGTGTTGAAGGTCAGTTTATGTTTCTCACTTTCTCAATTAGACCTTTGTTTTATTGTTCTGAAAAACATTCCTGTACATAGCTGATGTCAGAATTATAATTAATAAGGGAATGTATCAGTTACAGCTGCAGTCAGGGATAAGGAAAGTCATTTTTAATAGATTATCTTCTATTTTATATGTTTAAGTTCTTGTCTGGTGCCCATTCTCCACTGGTGTTGGCACTAATATGTAGCTAACAACGTGAAAAGCCAAACTACTGACCATAATTTACTAACCTGCTGAACACTAATGATGGCACATGTATATAATTGCTCAGCTCAAGGTCCACTTACTTGCATGTTCTTGAGCTTTCGCTCATATGACACTTGCTTGCTGTCATCATTCTGAGCACTTTTAGCACTTTTCTTCCATGTTAGATTAAAACTTTTGCTATATAGTCATTATTTTCACCTGGAAACAGCAGTTGACAGATTAAAACTAAAAAAATATGGAGGAAAAGAACATTTTTATAGCTATTTGAATGAAGGATTCAAAACAGAAGATATGCTTTATAGCCACTCTCCTGTCCGGATACAGTTAAAAAAAACTTTTGTTGCTTCAGACCGAGTTTGATCACCTTTCTACTCGACAGGCTAAATACCTCATCTCCAAATCTAGATATTACCACAATGAGCATGGAGAAAAGGCTGTGGACGATTCCTTGCACACCAGCTGTGCCAAAGAACTGCTCATCAAATGATGACCAAGGTAAAAAATGTACTGATAATGGCAGAATACATTTTTGGTTTATAAAGTTTTATCAAATATTATACACCTCAGATTCACCTACTAACTCCTCTGCCTTAGAAGATGTTTTTTTCCCTAAACATCCCTTCTGTAGAAACAACTGACTGTTGAGTTGGAGAGGGATCTTTCGGTCAGGGAGATAGCCTCAGTGATTAGAGCCATGCAAAGTGGTACATCTCTTGAAATTCAAAAAACATTTTCAGATCGACTTTCCCCCCTTGATACTGTCAATATTTGAATTGTTTTCCTCAAAACCGTTTGGTGTAGCCCCAGTACATTCTGCTTTTATTGTGTGCAACATGAATATGATGGCCTTTTGCTCTCTATTGGCCAGAAGGCTTTTATTCAAATGGAGGAATTCTCTCCCTCCAATGCATGGCCAGTGGATTAAAGAGGTCATGTGCTATATTTACTTAGAAAAGAATCAGATAAATAATACATAAATAAACAGAACAAGTTCAACAAAAAAAGATACGGACTAATATGTACAGTTATACTTATCTATAAACAAACATTTGTAGACAGTAGACAATAGTGCAACGGTGCAGAAGAAAAATCTTTTTCCAGTAAGAATCAGTCCTGAGAAAAATGTAGATTTTGCTATGATTCAGGAATCACATTTACTGTGCAAAGATGTGGGTCGATTAGCCAATAAGTTTTATCACCCTATTGCATCTTCATCTGCAGCTACAAAATGTATAGGAGTAATGGTATTGTGTAAACGCAAACTAAAATTTGATGTGATTGACTCTTGGGCGGATGGTGCAGGTCGGATAGCCATTGCCAAGATTTGCATGGATGGGAAAAACATTGTAGGCACTTTTTTTGAACTACTAACTAAATCCTTGCTTGATCTCACAGGGTTTAATTTAGTTCTAGGGGCGGATTTCAACGCGGTGTGGGACAGTGGCATGGACAGAACAGGTGGCAGTGAGACTAGGGACCAACATCTTGCGTCTGAGGCGTTGCGCCAGTGGGCATCTGAAACAGGCAACATCTGGCGTTTGTTAAACCCTTCTTTAAAAGACTTCTCATTTTACTTAGGGAGACATAAATCCTTTTCGAGGTTAGATTTTATCTTTGCCTCAAAAGATTTATTTCAAAATATTCAAAATGCGACCCTTGATGCGTCCTTGCAACATAATTTTAACGACTACACAGCCCTACAGAAGGAACTGATTAAAAAAGAGATTAACTCTCTTCTGAGGCGCCGTTCAGAATTCCTCATGCACAAAACAAGACAAACTTACTATTTTAACTCCTCAAAACCCAGTCATCTACTAGCAATGAAACTTCGGACGGATGAGCACTTTGCTGATATTTTTTGCATTAAAGACAAAGACGGCACTATACAATGTGACCCAAAAAAAGTAAGATTTAAAGATTTACGCGAAATTACTGGCCCGGCGGCTTCAAGGCCATATGACAGAACTGGTTCATAGTGACCAGACAGGGTTTATAAAGTCTAGACTTGCTACAGATAATGTTAGAAGACTATTACACATTATAGATGGTGCTCAAGGCTTAAGTTCCCCTGCTGCTGTCCTTTCACTAGATGCAATGAAGGCCTTTGACCGCCTGGAGTGGCCATTTCTGTGGTCAGTGTTAGAGTTCATGGGGTTCGGCTTGCCGTTCATTAATATGATTAAGGTGCTGTATAATAACCCAACAGCTGTAGTGCTTATGGGCAAAACTAGCTCTTCTCCCTTTGCTGTTTCAATAGGATCAAGACAAGGCTGCCCTCTTAGCCCTCTGTTATTCGCCCTTTCTCTTGAACCACTGGCGCAAGCCATCCGTGGCTCACCCACAATCTCTCCAATTTCCATTAGAGGAACACACCATCACGTCTCACTGTATGCTGATGATGTTTTATTGTATATAAACAACCCAGTGCAATGTATCCCACATGTTTTGTCAACCTTTGAACATTACAGCAAACATCAGCTTTGCTACCTTTAAATCAGGCCATGTGTAATGCTCCCATCCCTGCATCTATTCCAGTCACTAAAAGCTTCACCTATCTGGGGATAGATATCTCTTCTTCCATACAGACAATTATTAAAAACAATTTTTGCAACACACTTAACAAAGTCGTGGCGGATCTGGACAGGTGGTCTAACCTGCCAAATTCACTGCGTGGCAGGGTAGCCATAATTAAAATGAATATTCTGCCCAGAGTCAATTTTGTTAGCTCGATGCTGATAGCTCCATACTCTTTTACTAACATTCTGCATTCTAAAATCTCACCCTATCACTGCCATTTGAGATTTGGTCCCATGATTTCGTATTTGCTATTGATATGGAGGAGGGTGGAGAAATTGGCTGGTTGCTCTTCTGTTTGGGACCCACACTCTCCAATATTTAACAATGAGAGGTTGTTGATTGGCGATCGTCCTATTCAATTTCCTGATTGGGAAAAAAAAAACCTTTGCACACTCGGTGATATTTATGGGGAGGGGGGTTACTTACTTTTTGGAACATATGTATTAAGCATGGTATACCACGTACCTCCTTTTTTCTTTTATTTGCAGCTAAGATTGACTTTAAAAAGCAATGGTGACCCTTTACAGAGCCCTCTCACACCACATTCACTTCAAAAATTGTTTCACTCTGCTGGGAGTACAAGGGGTTTCGTATCGAGACTCTACTGGTTCTTGCTGCGGCATGCTTACAGACCTCTGGCATTGGACACGCTGTAGAGGAGAGATGTTCCAGATCTGGA